GGGAGAAATAGACACCATATATGGTGATCCCCCCCACTCGACGGCAACATATCCAGTGCCCTTGTCTCTTAGCGACAAGGGCGGGGAATGAGCCGTCGTGGAACCGACGACTGCCACGGAGCCGTCCCAGTCACCCATCCAGTTTGGACGGGGAGGGACAGAATAGGGCTCCGCGACTACGGCAACACCTATCGACCACTGTGCCATGGTTTGCAGGAAGAGATCCTGCGCCGCGGCACAGTGGTTCAGGTTCGTCTGGACCAGGAGGTTGGAGACTTGATCCATTACTGGATCGTCTCTACAACCTCCTCCATGGGCGACGACGTCGACGCACGAACTACATCGGAGGCAGCCTGGGTCGACTGGCTAACCCCCGACGTCTGCCGAGAACTGCGGGGAGGCTTGCAGCCTCTCTGCCCCATCTGGTGATTGGCGGGCTTATTGCCCGCCGCACACACTGGGCAGTGAGGGGCGGCAGAGCATTCTGCCGCCTTATGCCCCGGTTGACCGCAGCGGAAACACAGTCCGCCGCAGTCAAAACAACTGTCGCACTTGACGCGCGTGTGTCCCGATGCTAGGCATTTGTAGCATCTCATCGGTCTCGCCGCCAGGACTGTGATCCTGGCGCTCACGAAACCGATGAGCAGCCTGCCGGCGTCGGCCAATACTTTGGCCGACGCTACGGGACAGCTGACCCACACGGCGCCAAGCCCTCCTGGACCGGGGCGGATGGTGCCGACCCTGACGTTGTCCGCGCTGCACCCCGTCTTCTCCCGGATTACAGCGCGGACATCTTCGGCCGTCACTGAGTCGTCCAGGCCCGAGATGCGCAGTTCCGCGCACTTGGTAGGTCTGGCGACCCTGACACCATCTGTGGCTGCAAATATTCCCCGCAGCTTCTCAGCGAAGGAGTCCACCGTCTTTGCGCCTTCAGCCCCAGGGAACTCGAGAACTCGAGCTCCCGTCTGGGCGAGGCGCATCCTGACCCCCACCGTCCCAAACTCGTTGGCGAGGCTGTCCCGGGCCTTCTTGAAGACGGCCGCATAGGACAGCCCGCCGTCAGCCGCCTCCGGGGACACGGTCACAACTACAGCCGCGGTTTTGGGCGGCTGCAGCTTCCGCGGCCTCTTTGCAGAGGCCGTTGCCACCGGTGGCGAAGGCTGGGCTTGCCCCGCCATCAGGTTTTTTACCGAGGTTTCCTCCTCCATGCTCCGAAGAGCGAAGAGCCAGCAGGGCAACCGGCAGACACGCCCACCCTGCTGGACCAGGCCTTGCCCGAGAGCCGATGAACGGCTGCCTCTTCTGCTAGAATATTGGCCGCTGGCGATAATCCTCTCCTCCAAGAGGACAAGGAGGAAACAGTACCATCGCCAGCGTTTCCAGGGTGCACCACGGGGAGGTTTTCTAGCTAGCACCCCACGTTTGTGTTACCTTAACCCAACCCAATTTTGTAGTTTGGGTTTCTTTTTTTTGTAGTTTGGGTAAAATTCATTTTTTGTAAACTCATTGAATGTACTCAAAACTCGATAAACTCAACATCATTATTCACATAACACATCATTCACATAACTTGTCCTCGGGCAAATGAACACATTAGATTAGTGCCTCTCTACCCACAATGATGTTATTTATTGAGTGAAATGACAAACGAACCTATGTAATACTTATTTGTTATTAATACTATAATGTTATTATTTTTCTCAAGTAAGTGACTTTGTTTTTTATAGAGAATAAAGAATCTTTAATCCCAAAAACCAGTGCTAATGACAACCATGATCACGAGATAGGGTATGCATCCAATTGGATTCAAACAATAATAAGTACTGCTAGGCTTGCCATCATCCTTTCTCACGTAGTACAACTTGTAATACTTACAATCATTCCCGTGTCGTGTAGCACTTTACAAACTTTCAAACACAGGACATAAAAAATATCCAGACTCGCAACAATTGGTATACGATAATCACTGCGGCATAGCTACAAGTGGCTTAAGCAATAGTTCCATCCGTGGCATCGGTACAGTTCATTATTATTGAAAGCATTTAAAAAGTATTGCCTGCGTTGACGGCAGCTGGAGAGTGCCCTCATCTATATCCAATCAACAGCAGCCAAACTGAACTTTAGAACAGGCCATCACAATTCAATGTAACATACAAAGATGTCTGTATTTTTAGATTTTGAGCTTGTCTGGAACCAATAATGAGAATCAGTCATGCTTACCATAAAAACGATTGTCAACGGAATTGAAACATCATGTAAAATTTTCTACTTCAGAAAACTTAGGAGGAGTGGTTTTTATCAAATAAAAAAACATTTGAATACAAAAACAGTTAAATACTTTGCTAATGAGAACCATCTCACAAAACAAATAATCACATTAGGCCTTGAAATATACATAAGATTCTTCTTACGTTAGATATCATCTGCCTACCCTTATCCCAATTTTATTTGGGGTTGGCGCAGTAAGTATGATTCTTCCATTCTACTCTATTATGCGTCGTCTCACTGTTTGCTCCCTACCTCGTCATATCCTCACTCACACAGTCCATCCATCTTTTCTTTGGTCTTCCTCTTTTAATTTCCATACCTATAACTTTCTTCGCCACTTTTTCCTCATCCCTTCGCATGTCATGTCCATACCGAGATAACCTATTACTTCTTCATGGTAGAATATTATTATCCTGTTGTCATTTTTCCAGTCTTCTTTGGACCTCACCACAAACCAACACAATGTCATCTGCAAAAACCATGCACCAAGGTGCCTCCTGCTGTATGTCCGATGTCAGACCATCCATTATCAACAGGAAAAGGTATGGGCTCAGACCCGATCCCTGGTGTAGGCCTACAGAGACACTGAATTGATCGGTATTAACCGCGACTGACCTTACATGAGTGTAAGACTCTCTGTACATAGAACAAATCAATTCTACATATTTCTCTTTCTTCTTTCAAAGCCCACCACAAAACCTCTGAGGGTACCCTATCATATGCCTTTTCGAGGTCCACAAACATCATATGCAAATATTTGTGCGCACTACTGTATTTCTCACATAGTTGATGCATTGCAAATATAGAATCTGTTATCTCGCGCCCTGGCATAAACCCAAATTGACTTTGGGTTATCTCACTCTCATCTCTTATTCTTCTCTCAATCACTTTCTTCTCATAGTATGTGATATGAGCTTTATTCCTCGATAGTTGTTGCATTTCTGAACATGCACTATATTTTGGAAAATGGGTACGAGTTTGGTTTGACACCATTCCTTTAGGATTACCTCTTCATTCAACAACATATTGAAGAATAGAGTCAGCCACTCCATCCGTCTTCTTTCAGTAACTTCCAAACTTACACTGGTATGTCGTCGGGGCCCGACTGCTTTTCCATTTTTCATACTTTGTAGTGCCAATCTGACTTCATCTATACTAATCTCGTTCACCAGTCCGATATTCACATCTACATCCTTCAGCACTCCGCTACATTCATTCTCTTCATTCATAAGTTTTTCAAAGTAAGTTTTCCATCGCTCTTTTATATCTTCATCTTTAACCAACATTCTCTCCTCTTCATCTTTTATACATCTCACATGCTTTAGGTCTATTGCTCTTTCTTCCCTGTTTTTTGTAATGCTTTAGAGTTCTTTTTGACCTCCAGGTTCATGTAGGTGTTTAAAAATTTTGTATTGAGCTTGAGCTCTGGCTACCGCTACCGCTTTTTTTTGCCTTTTTCTTACACTCTATATATTTATTCATTTTGACTTCCTTGAATCTCTCACACCCCTTTCCATTTTTCCCAAAAAAAATTTTTTAACTTCGTCCTTGCATCCAGCTTGAGGTGCATATACTGGTGCATATACATTATATGTTGTCGTTTATACGACAGGGAATTAAAAAGGGTGGGAGGATTGGATGAGAGAGGAAAATTAGGGTGAGGGGGTACCGCAGTAGTCGGACGGGGGATAAAGACTGCGGTATGTATCAATATCCAGCGGAAGAAGAGGCCACCAGGACAAGTACAGCACGGCCTGAACATGTCACATACTGTCTGATGACAAAACAGTCAAAAAATCCCTTAGTTTATGGCTTCCACGGGAAGAGATGGGTCGGCCTTATTTAACTCCGCCGAGAATCACACGGCCATATCATCATACGTCAGATAAAGTTATAAATATTACATGTGCTCGTATAATGAATCGAATAGAGTCATAATTAATCAGCCCGTTTAAAGCTCACTGCTCATCATTCGACGGAATATAATGCACTAAAATTACCTACAAAATAACAAAAGCTCATGAAAATGTCTGTTTAAACTTCGCGTGAAGAGGGAAGTACGAGTAAATGTCAATTTTGCAATCAGCGCATATCTGCGCTGACTAACCAACTCAAAGCGTTACAGCGCGTGGTTTGTAATTTATTATTAGCATTCCTTGCTTATCATAGCAAACACGAACATTAGTATTGAAGCTATAACTACTAGTAGTAATATGAAGACAATAAAAAATAAAGCATTTACTCTAATATATATTGTTTTTAGGGTAGTGCTCTTGAGCTCATTGAGAAATACTAAAAATTAATCACAAACCAATAAAAGTTAAGAATGAAATGTAATTAAGAATTCTCCGGTCTCTAGGTTATTAATTTTGTATAAACATATACACATATTATACAAACAACATATTATATTAACATAAATATTGTATATTAAAAATTACATTACAACTTTCGTAACTATTTGATAAATTCACAGTGTTAGTTAAAACAAACATTTTATTATTGTACGAAATTATACAATTAGTTAAAAGAAAAACTGAAAGCAGTGTCAATGTCAGTATGGTAATAAGTGAACAATTTATAAATAATCATGGTTACGAGTAAAAATTTCTCGTTGAAAATAAAAGTAAGAACGCTCCCTTATGAAGCTTCTTGTGACAGTGGAAAAAAAATATAATTTTCTATGGTGTTATGTGTTTATCTATGATATGATGTAAATAAGCATATTAAAGATGTGCTCAGTTATGTGGTTGCGGTTGTTGGTGATGCTCGCTGCCTGCTGGGCACAAGAAGGGGAATGGAGCGAGGACGCAGAAGACTTAGGTGAGCATATTTCTTATTATGAATAATTATAAAATATAACAAGTATGTATCCTGCCGCATTTCACTGTAGCATATTTAGGTTGCATTAATGAGAAATAAAGAGAAAATCAGATTAAAACAATCTATAAAGTAGTTAGTTTATCATCATCATCAATTTATATCGTGTCAAATTTTGAGCTCAATCAGTCTTAAAATTTTTGAGGTTTTGAAGAGTACTCAAACCCACCTAATATTTAAATATAAATCTATATGGATTTACAGTAACTAGTGCTACAGAAATTAAGGTGACTTAATGATAAATAAAGTTACTGTTTTCAAAGTAAGTTAAATTCATTATTTTAGTTGTTATTGTAACGAGTCGATCATATGCTAGTTGCCCAATTCCTTTTTGAACCAACCAAAACTGAACTCCCTTGCATCTGATTCATATTATTATGGACAGACAAGGTGGGTTGAAATATTAAAAACCTTGAAGTTTACCAATAAACAGTTGGTTTTAGTATTCATACAATGTATAGTTATGTTAATAATTTTAAAAACTAATTTCGTTTATTTGTGAATATTATGTCAATGTGAAGCAGGACATAACTAGTCGGTTATTTATAAACACGTTAGTTGGTACTTGACGTTATAAATAAAATTATCGTAGTATAACTATCTCCGAAGTAACTCGATAAGGTTCAGATCATTAGATAGAAGGACACTTGCTAGCACTAGTTGTTACTTAAATTAGATTGTTTGTTTGTATTTTTAGATGTACGAGTATATGTTCATTATTTACTGATAAACTTACTAATATATTTTTTAATGCATACATATTTCAGATAAATTAAACCTAGACACAAAAAATATATTTTTACTGTTCACTCAATTATTTCTCCTGGGTGGGAATCAAACCCACGACTTTTAACTTAGCAGTTAGGACCACTAGCCACTAGACTAATAGGTCAGGCAAAAATGTATTCATTACAAACCCAAAAATGTTTAAACATTGAAAATTCAGTCTGAAATCTGAAATTGAGTCACTGTATTAAGAACGATAACAACAATATAAAATAAAATTTATAATTGGATTATTTTAAATCCAGAAGCTGTAGCTTTTTGTAACAAAATCATCGATCTCGTATCAACTTAAAAAATGAAAAACATTTATTCATTGTACCTCCATATTTATAGTACTTATCATGCTTTCTTGAGTTAAGACGATGAGGTCTCAAATACGGAGCAATATTTTTTTATTCTTTTCCTTATAACAGAATTATTATATACAAGTGCTATCTCCCTCCCTCCCTAACGGAGGAGGGGTGAGGGTTGGGCTTCGTTAACCTCACTTACTCGTTGAAAAGCAATGAAAGAATTGCTTAGCACGGTATTTTTTTATGGAAGAGGAGACAATGTAGCATAGGGTCTCCTGATGGAAAGCGACTACCGCCACCCATGAATGCCTCCAACTCAGGAGTCACAAGCTCGTTGCCAGCCTTTGAGGAAGGAGTACGCTCTGCTCAGTTTCACAGATTGGTTTTCCAATGCAAAAAGTATCTTGAAAAGCGCATATTGGTGCCAAACAAGCAAGTTTTGCAAGTGGCATTATATTATAATTATTTATATTATACTGTTAGGTAATTAATTTCGACAAAAATGTTTGTAGATAGTTGATATCAGTTTTAGTTGACTCAATGCTGACTACTTGCTAGCTAATGAATGAGTGCTGAATGTATGAAACACAACTATTGGATGGAAAGGGAAATACTGTAAAAGTACTTTGGGTAACGAAAAAACTATCTACATATAAATTAACGAAAATTAAAATGATTATTTTTATTGCTACTTTCTGCCACACCTCACATTGAATCGCTGAAACGATCAAATGAAACAAATCGAACAAACTCAAGTGGGAATCGCGCTGAACCCATTAAACCCGATTGCTTGTCGAAAATAAAAATGGGTAAATATATTTTCGTTCGTTCAATGGATCGCTGTTCCATGTTTTTGTCTGATTTTATGCAATCCGTCGGGAACTGCGTTTACACGCAACAAATTGCTCACTTTGATTGAGAGCGCGTAGCAGCAACTATGCCGTATTCCAGTGCGAAGCCTGCAAAAAGAAAGTTTGCAGTAACTTCACTCAAATCATTAAATCTTAATGAAAACCAAGAAACTTTGAAATACCTACATAGCTCTGAGAACACGATTTGGGCTAAGAAAATTCTTTTAACAGTACTTTGGGAAATTTTGAGTAAACCTTAAAGATCCAATGAATAAACGTGAATGTCTTAATATTATTTTCAACGAAACCATTACGATGTAAATTTATTAATAAAATTTATTAATAAATAAATTAATAGGCAGTTGATATTGAAGAAAGTGCGAAATTTAAGGTTTTATAAAGTTAATAAGTTTTAGTATTAAAAAACTTAATACAAAGAACAAAGTTCGAGAGTGAAGGTCATTTTGCAAAGTTTTAAACATATTAAGTTTTAAGCGGCGATGAAATATCTAAGCCTAAACTGGCGACTTGCTCAAGCTCCATTACTCGTTTGGATGCTTGCGAAAGAAGCAAAAAGAGCGACCCAATTAAAAAGTGTTCATGCATGAGTGATTCTATTCGACTCCAGTTTTATTGGAACGATTAATTTTATTGCAAAAAATTCTGGACAGCGGGACAAATGGAAAATGAGAGTACGCCGAAGTGGCTTCACCGACCTTTTTGTGGTTCGGCGATGGATGGGTTTGTTCAGTACGAAGTCTAATCAAAGGGCACACAGCCGAAAAAGTGTTCACAGCTCGCTCATCGTGAATGTGATGAATGAATTGAAATTTTAATGTAATTGGATTTTGGCGATGATCGAGTATCAATGCGTCGCTACCGGAGCCTCACAACAATTCAATATCCAATTAAAAAAAAACGCCTAGCTATTCAATATAATTTTTCTTATAATACATTATCCTTTTGTATGTGTATATAAACGGAGTTGACTTATCTGCAGAAGTGATATCGTCATGTATTTTTATATTGCTCTACATAAATCACAATCTAATAATTATCTCTTAACATGACGAAAGCACTGAAATACTTAAGGTCACAATTCTTCTATTGCCTAATTATTATTTTTTGTAAAAAATCTTTTGTATTACTGTATCATAGAATAAATAAATTATATATCGTATAAAAATTACAGGAATAATATTTTAGGAAATTGGAGCAGTAATTGATCAAACTCTAGAACAAAAAAAAACAAAGGACAAAGTTAACCAACATTAGTTATTAATAATATCCGCAATAAGTGATCAAGAGCAAGAACAACGTAGTTGCTTAGATTTAGACTAGTCTACAAACTTATAAACTAAGATAATTTGTGCTAGTACAAACCTCATTAGGTCATAAAGCATTATGACACTGAAACTTAAGAAAACCCACCCAGTTGATAAAAGTGCAAATTATTTGTTCACGTCATGCTGAGGAGTTATCGTAGACCACAGTCGCTACGGTTTTACTACTGTCGTTATTTCTGATGCACTACTTACCCTGTGTTGGCGCTGTAATAGTAAACTTTAAAAGGTTACTAACGAGTGATTCTAAGAATCAAATGACCGTAGTTCCTTTTATTTACCTCCTCACTAATGTTAAATAAGGGTGGGTTCAAAGAATTTCGGTGTACAATAAGGCTTGGAGAATTGGTTTAGGGGCGAAATTACAGTAATTCGTGTTTCTATTTTTATTTTATAATATATATGGTTTGAGTTGAGCTGAACTCTGTAAGTATTGGTTTAAATTGGACAGTTGGTGAGATATAAATATACAATTCCTAGTCTCAGAACTAGATAGATAAACCGGGAATGTGAGAATCATGTAATGTACGTGATATGAGGATCAAACTCACATCTTGTAACAACGGTGGCAATTAGTCGCCGCAACACTAAAACTACTATATTATTTATTACGTAAACGTATAAGTTAGAAAATAATATAACATATATTTTTTAACAGTTCAAAGCTATACGTGGCAAAGAATCGATAAAAATATAATATAGGTTTATCTAGAAGCACACTAACTACATCACCAATAAACGTTTGAATAAGTCCAAATGGGTTTGAGTGATTTAAATTGTAGATCACCGTGGAATGCATTTATAATCTCTATATTCTAAATCTCTTATCAGGATTACGTTGAGAAGAATGCAGTATATCTAAAGTTATATAGAACAGATAACATTATAGGCTTCTTCAATAAACGGACTATGAATAGACTGGTAACAAACTCGTGCTAGTTGCAAGTACATATACGAATAGTTTGTCCGAATAATATCCTGCACATATGTGTTCGGTACAGTGTACGACATTGGAGTAGTTGACGCGTGAGACGAGTAGGTCAGGCCCGAGGCTCGCGACGTGTCTCAACAATAATTTTATTAATATTACCCCCAGAAGCCTGTCACGCGCGAAACCGACGCTCGTATATCTTCAGCGTCTGCGAAAAAATATGATATATTGAGAAAACGAGAGACGTAAGAGCTTTTCTTAGCTTCCTTTTACGGAGTTTACCGTCTTTTAGTGTATTCGAGGAGGTTGTATGGTTTTACTACACCTCGTCACTGGGAACTTAGTATCTTCAAATAAAATTAATAGCTTTCCTATTTCTTTTTTGTTGGCTTTTCTTGAAGGGATTGCTGGAATAAAGAAGTCTTAAAACGTATATATTCTATAAAGAAGCTTACGTATATGTAAATCGTAAAATAATTTTGAGAAAATGCCCACAAAATACTTATTTTTAGATATCAGTTTTATGTGGTGGCACGTCAGCAATTGATCAAAGGATTTATTATATGTAAATATGTGTATGTTTGTATAAGATCTTAAACCTGGACTCCAACGAGACTTTCATAATACGATTCAATTCCCTGACACGTACAAGTAAAAGGGACGGAAATTGTATGTCTTGTGTTCTAAACTAGTAAAATATTATAGTGAAACTTTAATATACATACTATGAGGAGATTTTCAGTTAAAACTATCTGGGTTGCGTTACATTGTCCAAGTGTTTTTTTTGTTCGTCTTGCATTAAAGAATACGATGACGGAATGACTACTCAATAGGTAACATATACATCATTATTTTATATTATTACACAGCTAAAATACTTTGTTATTTTCTTTTTCAACAAATAAAAATCAATAAATACTAATTATATTTGGAATATAAAATAAAGATAAAGACGGGTTACGCTTTGCTAATCCTTTGCTCTCCCACATTAAAAAGAACTAAGTTTGTTACCGACTCTAATACGGGGATGGATAAGATTAAATAAAATAAATTATCCTCTACATCGGTCCTATTACTTCATCATCATCATCATCTCTTTACTTACCTAAAATATATTCGATTCCGCTCTCATTAGGTATTAAGGTTGGATAAATCGTGTATATTCACACATGCGCCGATCGCGTGCCGTGACATGCCGCTACCACTCATCTGGCAACATTCGGCACCGCAATAATGAGTACCGCAATTCTTTAGTGCCCTCCAACACGACACAATCTTTGCGGGCGTGTTATAGCCAGCCATTACACGAGCAAACCCCCAATCTAATATAATTTATATTTCCGATACATTATGCGTGACATTCAACGTCGAAACTTGAGGCTTTGTCAGAACAGCTTTATTGTGAAATTATTCTAACTCAAACGCGGCGGTGACATTGGAATAAAGGGGCAAGACCGATTTGGAATTTCATTTCTTCCTTCTTATCTTAATGTGCCTGGGCGTCGTGTCTCGTCCTGATGCCTGCACAATGTTTTTATTTCCTTTTGTTTTATCCAAAAAGCGTTTATCTAAATTTGAGTGTTATTTTTGTTTTTAGTTTCATTCATTTTATTGAGAAGGAGTTGTTTTTTTTATAAACTCTTATAAAAATTATCCAACTTTGCTTGTACTTAACACTATTATGATCAACCTAATTCTCTTAACTCAACAGCGGTAAGCTCGTCCACTTTCTGACAAATGTAAAGTATTTCCGAGAGTAAAAAAAACATTACTAAAGTTATTTATTTAACTCATACTTTTAAATGATTATGTTTAAATATTAGGTCATGAAACCCATATTTGTAATGATCAAATAAAAAAAATCCTGCAGTCATAACTGTGATGTACAATTTCTTTTATAATTTTATGTGTAGATTCCAAAAAGTGTGCCCGTTATATAAAGAAGCATTCTAATTAAGGACGGTATAAACTTTTTTTTTTCGTTTTCTTTTTTTTTTTGACTACAAACATTCATGAAACGGACACAAAGAACCCAGACTCAGAACAACAGTTTGTGGATCACACAAAGTGTTGTACCATGTGAGGATCGAACCCACAATACTCAGCGCAGTAGGAAGCGGCGAGGTGACCGCTTAAACCACTACGCCATCCGTGCAGTCAAAAACAATCTATAAACAATCTAATCAAAACTAATATGATCTTTATTGTTAAAGTTAAAGTTTTATTTCCTTCCTAGACATTTCTACTAAAATTAGTAGTGCGTAAATGTTGCAATGTTATATAAATTTCATTTCCCAAGGTTCCTACTGAATTGCACCAGTGGCGGTCCCGGGAGTCTTTAGATGAGCTATTTTTAATTAGTTCACGTATAAAGGCAAACTTAACGGTATGCTGTATAACGCGAGTTTGATAGACCATTGTACTTCAAAAACGATAAAATATATAGCGAGCATGCGGTAAAGATTGTTCGATAAAAAAAATATTACAATTTTGGCATAGACGACATTTTAAATAACGACAGGGTTCCAAGGTTAGTTGCCTTAGTTGTAAGGGCTATTGTAAGTAATTTGTCTAGAAAGGAAAAAAAGTAACACACCAGAATATTGGACGCACCATACCTTTAGAGTCTTGGAACAAATTGATATCCAAGCGGTACCACGAGACCAAGTAATCCGTCTTTATTAGGGTAGTCTCCACACTGAGTAAATTGAAAATTCCTTCTAAGTATGACTGATGGTATACATTACTTGGCCCCAACACTGTGACAGTTTTTTTCTTAAAGAAAAGAAGATTATTTCATGCGGTGTGGAACCGGAGCGTTTTAATATTACGTCTATTTATATTCACATTCTCTTTATCGCCCCTACGAAAGGAAGCCGAGAGTCGTAACGATGTAAGTACAGAATAACAGTGATATTCACTTAGGAATTCTTTCTGTTCGTGTTGTACGAAGGCAACGCTTGTTACCCGCCACTCTGAGCGGGGCATGAATGTTTTGTGTCGACGGTTCGGGGTACCGAGATTAGCTTTCGTCTACTGTTCAACAGAAGTATGCATGCATTTTAATCTACGAAGAACGAAACATCTTGTAAAACCACAATATAGATGATAATACCTATCAAATAACTTGTGTCACTATTTAGATTGTTCACTGTCATATTGAGCTAACTCATTATGACAGTTCATAATACTAAAATTAAAAGAATATAATGTGCTTCATAAAAAGGATTTTCATTACGAGACATTGTCGACGTATATGCTAGAGGAGGGGACGCAAATTGTATGAAATTAACCAAACAGAAGACGAACTATGTACAATGAGAAAATTCTTGACGTAATTTACAGCGCTTACAGTATCATTATAGCTTAGAAAGGCCGACTAGTGAGAGCTGTGGAGAGGCTTAAGACTGTATTATATCGTGTAATAACGTGCGCACTATGTGTGAGGGTGTGGCTACGGTACAGAGAGTATGAAGGGTGAAGGGATAATGAAAGAAATAATGAAGCATAGAACCTAAAAGGAGTAATGTTGGGCCCTATGTAACAGGCAGACTTGAATTAATTAAAGTTTAACGAAGAGCACTATGAAGCGGACGAAGCCAATGAGCTGTGATTGGTCCTTACGTCGTCCTTGAGACAATGACGATATTCGCCCGTCCTATAACAGAAGAAACTTAATGGTACCCAGAATCATTAATTACTTTAATTTAATAATGCTAATAAAGCCTAAAGATGTCGACGCGAGTTGACTATGTCAACTTAGCGGGGTATACTTATGGATCTTAAAGTTAAATTTGATATTTTGAAGGTGATTTATGATTTTTATGTAAATGTGTAAATTATATGATAGTTTAACTTCTATCAAATATGTCATAGATACATGTTTTCCAACGAAGGTCACACCAAATACATCAGGTATTGTTAACGAGTATACATTAGGTGGCATATGGTAACCTAAACCAGACCATACAACGTCTTTCTAAATGAGTGATGTAATACGAGTACTTTAAAGCCGAAACTTGATTGTCCATCGTCAGTTGTATTACTCAGTATTATCTAGACGCGGTGTACGCACGCCACACGAACGCTCTCGCATTACACAGTTGAAGCATTTTTAATATACTTGAACTGTTACATAACTGGCTCAAGCTGTCACTTTGAAAGCAACGCCATTCCTTCAACTAATTTTAGCACAGTTTAGTTCAAGACACTTTAGATTAGGATCAAACATCAACGGTATATATGAGAAGTACTTATCATAGACATATATTATGATTTTATGTATATTTTGTAATCGTATGTACATGAACACGTCTTGACGACTGCTCGGCATTGGTTAAAAATATAATGATTACAACAGAAACTAAATTAGGTTAGTGTATATCTTGTGTATATGATACTTCGGTCAGGATGTACAGTTATTTATTTACTGATAAAGTAATTGCTAGGAAAGTTAGGATATCTTATGTCTCGTTTTGGACGATAGGAAAAGGGAGATAAAAATGATGGAACAAAACATGTTGTTAGAGTAGTCAATAGAAGTTATGCGTTTCTACCGATTTAGATACAAATAGGTATAGAAATAGCTTGATTCTCGAGGAAGAACACAGGCTACTTTTTAAGGTGAGCTGCGGGCAAAAGCTAGCTTATAATATTGGTATTAACATGGATGGACTGGCAGCGTTACATCTGATCAAAATGAAGCCATCCAAAAAGGAAGTGTTTGCATTAATTAGTAACGCAGTTAAAATCTTAACACCTTTATTTCTAGACATTCAAAGTTTCAATGATGGACAATTAAATTGCCCACGTAACTAAAATACGCCATTTTATTTCCCATTATGTTCAGTTAGCTGTTGTATTCAGAATTGAGCAATTGCCGAACGAATGAAAAGTTTTTTTCTTTATTACAGTGTCGACTGTGGATGTGGACGCTGTATTGGGGCGAACAGCATCCCTACCTTGTGACGTCACACCGGACACCAATGAGGACAGAGTTTATATGGTGCTCTGGTTCAGAGCGGGGAAAGCTACCGGCGGGAAACCTATATACAGGTATAAATGTATAAAAGTTACTTTGATTCATTCCTTTTCTAGAATGTGAATATAATCTAATAAAATAAGTATACCTTTCAACTAATTCATTTAAATAGATGCTCTTAAACAAGTACTATATTATTTAATAATTATAATAAAAATGAAAAAGCCTTACATATCCTACTAAAAATTACAGTTACAATTAATCTTAAAAATATTAAATAACCTACTACTACTACTTATCTAATTTTATACAATAACATGTGCGCTAACTAAGTAGTAAGAACCGCTCTTAATCGAAGGTGAATGCATCCTCTAGAGATTTGGACTGTCGCTCTTCCTAGAAACTGCCGGTCCCACCAAAACGTCAATCTCTTCCTCCATCTATTAATATCTGTCAGCCGCGTTATGTGGCCGGCATAGCGCCACTTTAATTTTTGTACAGTTGTGTTTAATTTTACACATATGTAAATTTAAACACAACTGTACCATCAAAACTAAAAACAACTAACCAATGAAACACTTACGTATGTACTTAATATTTTTAATTGAAACAATATAATGTTTAAAAATCAAATATTACAAACAAAACGCTTCCTTGTTAATTTCACAATGTTCTACGCAACAAGCTACGAGATTCTACATCGTAGATGTACACGTAGCTGACTGTGCTACGGGAAGGTTCTATTTGATGTTGATTATAATTGTTAATCTAATCACGGGGAGCAAATAGTATATTTGTATCAAAGATCAATATTCTATTAGTCTACTGTTAATCAAAAATGTAAATTAGTTTCTGAATTTGTATGTTTGTCTAATGCTTGAGTTGGAAATATTATTTATAAATGTTTATGAATTTAAAATAAAATGTATAGCACATTTTATTTCGAATTCATAAACATAACTTACACAATAATAATAATATAATAATATAAAAGCACTACGCATGTTGCCAAATATAAAATTCTACATAAATTATGTATGTAGTTTGTAATTAAATGAGTTTATTTTGCTAACTGTTTATACTTCACCTACACTACTTTATAATATACTAGCATACTGAGTGCTAGCTTACCAAGTGCGCACCAAGTGTTTTACCGGTAAAATATGCAACGTAATCTTAGTACCTTTATTTATGAACAGGAAAGGTTATAGTCGAACATCTGAAATTATTACTTATATAAAAGATTTTAGTGATTTTTTCTTGTTACAATCACTCACCTGCTAAGCCCAATACCAAACCCAGAAATCATGCAACGGTAATATGCCAACGAAGCAAGGAATATATGGATTAAAGGATTCCTTATAAAAAAAACAGATATTTATTTGTAAAATGCCTAAAATGTCAACATCAGCTGCTCAGTTTTCATTTGTTTTCTCTTTGTTACATATTTAATATGAAAACGCTACATAATTTAACTGAGAAGCACTTATGAATAACTCATACACTGGTTTTATTTCGCAAATACTCGCAGCAGACACTACTCGTGAATACATTTTTGATATTTTTTTTCTAATGATATAAAATGTTGATACCTCTTCAAATGTAAGCATTAACTGAGATTTGTTTTCTTAGATATTACCTTATAGGCGCTAAAATAGGGCTTGGAAGTTGAGCGTAAATAATACTTTTTAGCATTTTTGTGAAAAAAATACGCAGAACAGTTTTATTTTTACTGAGTCATAGAAAACAACAAAATAAATACGTATGTAATAGTAGATACTGCTGCAAACCTTCAATGACTACGATAACTTTGTCACTACTTACTGCTCACCACTAGGCATTCGGCATGACTGACACCTTATATAAACATGTATTCGGTAAAAAACATTCGCGTTTCACGAAAATGTCGTTCCGGAACGGTAACGCGCCTAACCAATCAATAGTTGCGCGATGTATAGAGTAGGCGGATGGAGCCTGCGGCGAGAGATAAGCCTAGCCAGACCCAAGACATCAATCACACGTTGACAAATTTATGTGATTCCGACACTAGATCTTGTACATGGATAGGAATGTCTGGACATCTATATGGACTAAGGGTTGTCAATGAATTCACTTCAGTTAATCGGAAACCTAAGATGGATAAGACGAAATGCAGGTGCGAGCAGTCTATAGAAATTCATTCTATTATTCGGCCATCATATAGTTACTTTGGTTATCTTTCAAAATCTATCTCTCTATCGAATCTATATCTAAAATCTATTTATTTCTGTCATATCAGTGTTTAATTTCTTTTCTATACATGAATATATTTTAAAATTAGGCTATTATTACTTTAGTCGTATAGTAAAAATACATATAAATAATGACCGGTGCAATTTACTTTTTATACATACTTTAATTTAATATTTTAACTTCAGTATTTGCTCATAATAGTCATATTCGAAAGCACATCAAAATGAAAGATACGAGAGATTAGTATCATTTTTATAATGAGTCTGAATATGTCCTTTTGTGAAAAATGGAGAAATATGATTGAGGTTGGCGGTGTCTGACAGGTACATTTTAATAGAAAAGTGACATTTGATTATTGTATCGATATTATTCTACAGTGTCATTATTGGGAGAAAATGTAGTGGAATGTGTTTTTATGAAAAGTCCGTCATATTAATTATTGTATGCCTATCCAGTAAACTAGTTTGTTTTTTTTTTATATCGCTTCGTTGGTTTATCATGCTAATGTCACTAACACCACTATCATCATCAACGCCAACATCACCATCATCGTCATCATCGTCATTATTACGTCCGAGTTGTGATTTCATAAACAGTCCACTGCTGGACATTGGCCTCTCCTTAGAAAGGAGGTTTCGGCCTACTATACCACGTTGGCTAGACGGGGTGATATAGGGTTTGTTTCAAGTTTTCGTTCTCTTCAGTGCTATTGTAATGCGTAGTTAGCTCCCTTAGTTGGCTCTTATGACACCCATGGGATGAAAAAGAGGGGTTACACTCCGTTTTCTTAATCCGTTACCACACGAAAATCAACACTACACGGTGTTGTGTTTTAAAGCCACTAAGTCCAGTCACTTTAGCATAAAAAGGGGTCAATCACGGGATGATGGAGTATTAAGCTGATTTTTTCGTACATATCTTTATTTTGGCGTTCTAAAGGTTATCCCAAAAGTCTCAGAAATTCAAGTGTTTTTTTGAGATTTTATTAGAAAACTTTTTAAAACGCCTAACTGAAGGTATATACGAAAATTCAGCTCATAAGTGTCGCATTCCAAGTTTGAGCGGTAAATTGACTAGAGTACTAGAACAAGTACATTAACAGGTCGTACCTTATCCATATTATGGTGATTAAGTGCCGATTTACATTTAATATTCGATTTAATATTTTTACATTTAGTATACCGTGGAGTAGAAGGTAAAACAATCTTTCTATGTTTCATCTAAACGTTTTCTGCGAAAAAAGCACGTAAAATGAGCTACATTTTTCTAATATCCTGCGCTCTCTATGCTTTTTAAGTCTTATAGCTTTAAACCTTTCTATACGTGCAAAGAAAATAAAATAACTAGCATTACTATTTTAATTCAAGTTACCTAAGTAAAGCGAAAAAGAAACAATATACGGCAACCAACTCACTCATGAATAAATAAAGGAAAATAATATCGTGTACGTGGAAACAAAGGGATAGATACTGTAGATGCTACTTGAGATTGCATTACTTCCCTCTTTCACCCCGCAGATACACATTTACACTAATGTCGAGGTAAATATGAAATATGAGATGGTAGGCAGAAATGGTGGATTGATTTACTGAGCCGTCGGTAGCCGGATCTCGGAGATATAGGGACTTCCTTACTACACATAATACATGTTACACATTAGGGCTGCTGCTAACTCTTTTATTCATGTCCTTTTTCCAGTCGCTGTTCGTAAATACATACCTGCTTATTTTTTCCTAAATATAATTTAAGAACTTTTTAAATAATTTATGTGTGTTTTACTGTATTAAATATGTTTATATGTGGTACCTTCATTCGATTATAATTAACAGGGCCCATTAAAAAGTATTTCCTAAAAAAAAAATTGCGAATTTACTAGCGGGTAGTAAAACATAACCGCACAAGTATTATTATTTCTATACAGAATTCTAGATAGTCCACTAACATCAATTGCAGACGGCTTACAAAACGGGCAACTCCCAAGCAGAATTAATTGTCCATTTTATAAGCCGCTTTACGCCGAAAGGTACAAATATATGTGCTCAGTAGCTCAACTCATTCTTTTATTATTTTATTCTTTAGAGAACTTATGTGGAAATAACTATTCTAATGTTGATTCCTTTTATTTTAAATAGTGAAAAAGTAAACATTGCGAGTGAAGATAATGCAAATAATTAAAATTAAAATGCTTATCTTTATATGACTCTCTAACATAACATGTATAAGGTTTTGTCATTTTAACAGCTCTGTTGGTCTAGTGATTAGTAACCCTGACTGCAGGCTGGACGTCATAAGTTTGATTTCCACCCAGGACAAATAATTGTGTGATGTTGACGATTATTTGTTCTGTGTCTTGATATAATTTGTTCATAATATGCATCTATTGATGATGCATCTATTTAGAAATTTATCTATAAGTGTGTTTATCAGCAGTTTGTTTACCATAGTACAGAGTCTGCCTAGTTTGGGATTAGACTACCGTGTGTGAGATGTGTTAAGTTATTAGCATTGTTTATTTTCTAAACTACTCTACTGTCAAAGCAGTTTTATTGTAAGTTAAAGTGCTTTCCTACATTATATGACTAAAATTGGGTTTTAATTTTCCTTAGTGCCCGATTCAAATAATTTAATTAATGAGTTTTGAGTACAGACTATAGACATTTCCAGTTGCGACAAAGTCACATCTAAACAACGACACCGTGAACTTAAAAAAATTGTTTAACCTGAAGAAAAAAGAAAACTTTGTAGATTAGAAAACCAAATTGTGCAAATTTCATTTACAGACTTATATATCAATTTTAGATTATGTGGTTTGAAGGAATTACATTAGTTCAAATACATTCCAAAATAATTTCGAAGTCATATTGATTTTGATCATAACTTTTAAAAGTGAC